AGACAGGGAGATCAGTCATCCTGTTCCTGTTTATAATAAATCCCATTCCCATGACAACTCCAGCCACAGAGGACTTATCAGCCTGACAACTGCTGCCACCACTGCCATATTTTAAAATGACAAATGGGGGTAAAATGTCCATATTCTAATTAGGTTTCTAAAGTAACCAATGGGGGAAAATTAGACAATATTCTAATTGGGTATCTTAAGGTAATCAATGGGAACAAATGGCCTAAGGTCTTTAGTCTTGTTCTAAGGAAAGAGAACAACTCACAGTTTGGTTTATAAGATACTAATTTCCAGACATTGGAGCCTTAAGCCTTTCTTTCTGGCTTGGACCACTCCACTCTACCTTGGGAAGAACTACTATCACCTTCACTTTCAATAAATCTGTACATTGTCTCTCACTCCTGTGTGTCTTAGTCAATTCTTTGTTCAGGACACCAAGGATCTAGGCCACAACTGGACACCCCAGTGAAAACTTCCACTCTGTTATTCAGTATCATAATTTCTAAAATGGAAATAGAATTCCAGTTTGAAAAGTACAAAGCTCTGCTTTGTCCTTTAGTCAAAATTCCTTCTCTTGCTTTTAAATGTTAGAAAAGGAGAGTCTGATCTAATAATGTGTGTTTGTTCTTTTCTCAACCACACTCTTGTCTACCCCAACCTTCTGCTTTGCACAGAAACCCTACTTCATTGACTTGATTCAAAAATGAAATAGTCATGCCCAAAGCTCAAACTGAGCGGGAGGATAAAGAGGAAAGAAGATTGAAGTGAGGATTCCCCAGAAAGTATTTAAAAACATTCTTTTGTGTGTGGCACTGGGGATTAGAACCCAGGGCCTTGTGCATGCAAGGCAAGTGCTCTACCAACTGAGCTATACCCGCAGCCCTAAAAACATATTTTCTTCAGTTAAACATGGGTCCAATTCTGCCGCTATACTCCACAACTCTTTCTTTGCATGGAACTTTAGACAAGTCACTTGACCTGACTTTCCTTTTTTCACACATGCCTTTGATGATAGTATTTACTTTTAGGGAGTGATGTGAGAATTAAATGCATTAAAGGACTCACGTAATAATTTTTTCAGCAGTTAATTGGCCAAGAAAATTTACCTGAAATCTTTATCCTCATGATAAAAAAAAAATACACTGAAGTTTTAGGGGATGGGCTTATTGCCAGATGAGATATGCTATACCAGCCTAATATCTTATTAGCACATCCAATTGCAGTTTCATGGGGTGAGATGTACTGGTTTGTCAGGAAAGCAGGCTAGATCCTTTACCACTAGAATACTTGGGTGATACACACAGTCTTGGTTTCCTGAATCTGACACAAGTGGATAAAGGATGATATCTGCAATCTCATTAAAAGATAACAGATGAACTTCCTTAAAATCCACTTTTTAGCTTAATTTCATTTGTTTGAATCTTTTTGTCTGATGAGATGGCATTCTGAGAGTACTTTTAAATTGGTCTCCCTGGAATGAATATTCCTTTATCATTATTAGAACTCCTCCTATGAGGTTTGTTATTCTGGGTGGTTTTAATATTCATCTTGGACAAGTACAATCAATCTTCCTTTAATATGTCTTTTTCCCTAAGACATGGTCTGGGGCTTTGGAAGGCAAATACTGCATGATGGGCAAAATAATCAAACCAAGTCAAAATAAGTTTCCAAGCCTTTTTCACAGTAGTTCCAAAATTTCTTAAGTTCTCTGTGATCCTATTATTTCAACTTCCTTTCATGATTTAGAATCAAGATGGCTCAATTGTATTTTTAATTTTCTAGATCTATGACAGCCCTCACTTTTATTTTATAGCTAAAACTAAAAATTTCCTTTATGTTCTCATTTTTATTAGTACTAAAAAGTTTTAGGCAAAATTTTTAAAAAATGGCAATGAGTTTACTTCAATATTTCTTAAGATGTTTAACCTGAACTTGTTTCTTGGCTAAAATATGCATATAAAGTTTGTTAAGCTTTTAGTCTCTGAGTTAAAAAAATGTAAGGTGACTCCCATTCATTTAACAGGGTAACATGTTGCTGTTTTATATTTTGAAGTCTATAAGTCTCGTGATCAAGCTGAGATTCATCATATGGGCAAAGGCACATTATATTCATTCTCAGCATGAAACCAACTATAAAATTGTATCTAAGATTGACATGAGTCATTTCTCTGAAAATAGGAAACTATCTTGTCTACTTTTGATATTTCTTGGAATTTTGTTATCTTGTATGAATAATTCATATTATAACAATAATAGTACTTTAAAATTTAACTAGTTGCTTTACCAAAGCATATAGAAACTTGTGTTTCATATTTATTAAAAAGCAATTTTTTTGCTGTTTTTTTTAATATATGTTTCATCAGAGAAAGACCCTTTTTGCATTTCTTTCTACCCATCACAAGGGAACTTCTTTAGTTCCCAGCACTGGGACTTTCTCCTTACTTCTGTGTCTCTATGGGTACTCAGCAAAGTTCAGTACCCTCTCTTATATGGAGATGTTTCCAGGGACCACTGCTAGGAAACCTCCAAGAGGAGCAAGAGTTTTGACCATCTTGCTCCCTGCTCCATCCCCAGTCACTAGATGAGTGGCTGGTAAACAAAAACACAGTAAATAATTTGTGAATGAAACAGTAAACAACTTTCTTCCCCTGCAGTGTTTGGGACCCTTGTCACCCTTAAGTTAACAACTCACTGCCTGAGAACCTGGCTTTTGTACTGGTCTTTCTTACTTTCCTGTGATGCCTTGGAAATGAACCTTTTGTTTTTGGATTGCCCTGAAGTATTCCTTAAGCACCTGGCCTGTGTATTCATTCATTTTTATTCCTTAGAGTGGAATACATGATTGCTTATAATTGGGACAACCTTGATGAATATTTAAGTAAAGGCATTATCTTGTAAAAATAAATAAATAAATAAATATCATGGATTAAGTGTAGCTTGACTAGGTTATATTCAACATGGGAGAAAATTCTTTGCAAAGTAATTAATGCTTACATACTTTAGAGAAAACTGCAGCTCTTTCTAGCTTATTATAAAGTCTCATTCCAATCTAAATAGATGCAGTTTCTCTTAGAGGCTTCAAGTGATAATGGGGCTTCAACATCATAAATTATTAAAATTTCATGTCTATACCCTTCTAAATGGGCTTAACACCTGTAATAAACCAAAACCACCAAATGGTTTGCTTTCCATGTTCTCTTAATTCTACAAGGGGGAAATCACTACCAGAATGACACAACAGGGAAGAAAATAGAATTTCTAAACTCAGAAATACAGCAAAGTTCTCAAGGCTCTATCTTTATCCAGAACCAGAGCATGGAAGGATTGAGAAACTATGTATCAAATTGTATGCTCTCTGCCAGCACTCAAAGTTGCTACAACAAATAGACATTGCTCACATATGCTCTCTTTCACCCAAAGGTTCTGCTTATAAGGCTCCATGGAGGACACATCTAAGAATAAGAGAACATTGTGCCTCTTCTGAATACCTGGATAACTTTTCCTACAAATAAGTCATGGATCTCAGAGATATGTACCGGTTTTCACATTAGCTAGAAGAAAACACAGAGTGAATTTTGAGGTATACACCTTTAATTATTCTCTGAGTCCTCTCTATGCTGTGTGTGTGTGTTTGTGTGTGTGTGTGTGTGTGCACGTTCGCACTTGGTGAGGTGGAGGGTAATAAGTCTTTCTTTATGATGATTTTTAACCCCCCTCCGCTGGAGATGCAACTTAGGGCTTGTTGCATGCTAGGTAAGCATTCTACTACTGAGCTACATGCCCAGACCCCTAAAGTTGATTTTTTATTTGCTTCTGAAGATTCCCTTTACCAAACTCCTTCAGGAATGTATTCTCTCCCTTTGTGTATAACTTTGAAGACCTAATCAGGTCCTTCCTGGAAAGAAGATATTTAGATAATGTGCAAAATTTATTTTGCTCAAAAATAAAATGAATGTCATGGCACTTTTGCAAGTTTTCGTACAGTATTAAAAAGTTAAACTAAGTAAAAGCTGTAAAAGATCATGTCTTACTAAATCTCACCATTTTGCAATAGCTTAGAGACTCAATGGTGGATCCATTAAGTTCAAAACATTTATGCTCATTAAAAATTAATAGAAAGTGTTATTTAATAAAAAAAAAAATCTCCTCCCCTACAGAACAGCTTAAATTTTTAAAAATATGAAATATTACATTGAATTTATACAAAAGATATGTTTAAATAGTCTGACCACTATATAAAATATCTTCAAATCTAATAAGTACAATAAAATTATTTGTGATCTCATATCTCCAAAATTATATATATATTATTTTTGGTACCAGGGATTGAACTCAGGGGTACTTGACCACTGAGTCACATCCCCAGCCCTGTTTTGTATTTTATTTAGAGACAGAGTCTCACTGAGTTGCTTAACGCAATACCATTGCTGAGGGTGGCTTTGAACTTGCAATCCCCCTGCCTCAGTCTCCCAAGCCTCTAGGATTACAGGCATGTGCCACCTCACCCATCCCCAAATGATATATATTGAAAGAGCAACGTTTTCTTCCCTATTTTCTGCATGTGAATATGTATATCTACAGTCTGAATATGTGAACAATTATTTCTATATTGTATATACATTACAATATGTTTACTTCTTCATAGTGTACAGTTCTTAATTTTTTTCACTTACCCTTTCAACTAAATCTTTTTCCATGCTTTAAAATATAAAACATTATTTTAATGGCTGAATAACAGATACAAGATATCAAAATATTTGGAAATAAGAATATTTGCTTCCCACATATCTTGAAAACATTGGTAATTTGGGATTGTGTAAGGAAATTTTGTGTTGAGGTGATACACTGAAATGCTCCTTGGGAGCAATAAAATAAGTGCCAATGACAAAATATCTAACAGAAACAGGGACCATTCATCACATGATCAATAGGCATAAATTGAATCCAGTCAAATAAGGAAAAAAAAAAAAAGAATAAACCCAGGCACTTACTAATTTCAGTTGCAATGATTGTTATGTTATGCCACACACTTAATTCTCTGTCAAGTGGTGTTGCCAGAGTGATCTTCCCATCATCTGCATTAATGTTGAACTGTCTCTCCAGGTCAGTGTGACGGTCGATGGAAAACCTACAAAACAGATATATCTGTAATCTACTTCAACATTTATGTGATCCATACATTCCATGGCAGACCTTTAGTAATCCTCAGAGAGCCATAGTTGTGAAGTCTAATGAATTGGGAAACTCTGTGGCATCATCATTTGTTAAACAAAATGACTGAATGAGGCACAAGGAACTTAATAATTATTGTCTAAGGAGCAATTAGCTACATATACAACATGGAGGTCACAAACTGCCATCGGTTTCAATAGGTAGCATCTTCAAAAACGGATACTGATGAAGGGCTAATTGGACAATCAATCACATTTATTGGACAGCTTATGATAATTAGTAGTTGCCACAAAATATCATATTTAACAATGAACTCAAGCCCAAAGCAAGATGGTGCCAGGCAGCAGGTTATCCATAGCAGATTAAGGTAAATATATTCTTTGTTAAACTTTTCACTCCACCACATTTCTCAGGTCTCCCTTCCATCTCTCTCTCTCTCTCTCTCTCTCTCTGATAGTGATTTTTCTTTGTTTTCATTTTAAGTATGTGTTCAGAGTTTCTTTCAGTCTCAGTATGTAAAAATCAGATCATCATTGGTCCTTTAATAAATGTTTTATAAAAAGTAAAATAGATATTTTAATTTATCTATAACACTAACTTGATAAATTAAGAACTTCAAATAAACTTGTAATTATCGCCTCTATTAAAAAAAGAAAACTTTTGGATAAGACAATGAGAAAATGTTCAGTGTCTAGAGCAATCTGCTTATCAAGAGCACTAAGAAACAAGGTAATATAGAATTCATTCTCCACATCCTTTATTGGTATCTTTTTACATACCAAGATTTATATTCTCAATATGCAAAACTGTATCCAGTAAAGCTTTACCAAGTACAAAACTTTCTTAGAAAGATTAGTGCATAAGTAAGCAGTGAGAGCAACTTAAACAGGATAGGAGGGAAGCCCCAAGAAAGATGTAGACAATCCCATTTCAGGCAGAAAGGCTAAAGAAGCCCTTCATAGTTGAGGTGATATCATAGATAGTGCACATAAAATCTCTGTATTCACCAATACTCATCAACTTCAAATCTGAAAAATGACCCCTTGCTAGTTGGTATTGAGCACTTTGTAATTTTATGCATAGTCTTCATAAACATTTATGATATATTCAAAAATAAGTGCATGTTGTTCTAATAGATTAGACAAGAATATTCCCCTAAAATTCTTTTTTTTTTTGGTCTAGTTTAGTTTAGTTTTATTTTTTTTCTTTTTTAAATTAAATTATTCATTCTAATTTGTTATACATGATGGCAATTCATTTCATATTAAAAATATAGAGCACAATTTTTCAAGTCACCGATTGTACACAAAGTATTTTCACACCATTCATGTCTTCATACATGTACTTTGAGTAACGATGTCTAACTCATTCCTCCTTCATTCCTATCCCCTAGCACCTCCCTTCTCCTCCCTCCCCTGTGCCTTATCTAAAATTCCTTCATTCTTCCCATGCTCCCCCATCACCATTATGAGTCAGCATACTCATTTGAAAGAAAACATTCTGCCTTTGTTTTCTGGGTATTGACTTACTTCATTTAGCATTATATTCTCCAAATCCATCCATTTAGCTGCAAATGCTATGATTTTATTCTCTTTTAATGCTGAGTAATGTTCCATTGTGTATATATACCAAAGTTCCCCTATCCATTCATCTACTGAAGGGCATCTGGGTTGGTTCCACAATTTACCTATTGTGAATTATGCTGCTATAAACATTGATATGGCTGAGTTCTTGTAGTATTCTATTGTACCTTTGTATAGTTAACATTTTAGATTTTGTTGCAGATTTCAAATATGCTTGTATATGAATATGTATCTGCCTATCTGTCTGAATATCTACTTATGGGGATAGCTAGATAGCTGATAAGATAGGTTGGTAGAGAGGTATAGATAGGAGTACCTATGAATTATCCCTTCCTCTTTTAGTTATTTGTTTTTATTAGAAGTGGTAGGCATATGCTTTATATTAGATCTAAAGGCCATTGAAAAAAGGCATCTTTCCAGGGGTGGGAGACAGGGAGTGATGGGGGAAGTACTAGGGAGTGATACTGGCCAATTTATATTATTCTATTGTGTGCATGTATGAATATGTAACAACAAATCCCACCATTATGTACAACTACAATGCACAAATAAAAAATATAAGAAATAGGGGGATATCTTTATTAAATCCTCCCCACCCATAACAAGTATCATTGAAGTACTTAGAAAAATATCTTAAAATATTTATTTTATTGACAATTGTTCATGGATAAATTCTTTGGACAAAAACATGAAAGATGAAGTTGTAACTCTTGATTTAATAATGACTCAGCTACAAATACAACTAAGAGAGTGACTTGTATCCACACACTAGACCATACACCCTCCATCCCCACTCACAAAGATGACTGGAGAAATTCAGAAAGGATTTAGGAATCCAGACACAGATATGCAATAATAAAGTCCTCAATAAAATCCTGAGCATGAGAAGGTATTTATTGCAGAAAATTATTTGAATCTCCTGCATTACGGAAAGAAAACTAAAGGCCATTTTCCACGGGAACAATAACAGTTGATTAGCCCAATGAGATTTTGAGTTGAACTATAAAATTACTGAACAGACACGTGATTTGTTCCAGATATCACATATAGTCTGACTCTTAAAAGGCTAAGAAATATCCAGAGGTTTAATTATCACTTCCTGCATCCTATTTGTAAATAAATTTTACAGGCATTTCTGTGTGCTAGTAATTTTATTGTCTCATTGTGGAACCTCACACATTCATGCAACAACCAATTTCCCAGAGGCTGCAGTAAACAAGAATCAATCTAATAACTGATATTCTATGAATCCCAAATCGAAAACACACTCCCTGGTTATTTGGTACGTATCCAGTAACTGCCTTGAACTTCTAGCCTAGAAGAAGTACTGGGAACAGTGACAGGATATTTAGAAGTTGGCATTTAAAAACAATGTTGTTTGTTTAATCTCTTATGCAAATATGTGTCATACAGATCACAAACTTGGAGCAAATTGTATCTCTATTATTTATGTATTGCTGTTTCTGAGATAATTAGTAAATTCACTTAGCCTATTTCTTTGCTGGCAAAAAAATGAAGGATCTATATTCAAGGAGTCGTTATAAAAATTAAAAATAAAGCATGAATCAATCTCTGGCACTTAGTAGGTACTAAAGATAGGATCATCATCATTACCATTGTTGTTAATGTCTCTTATTAATGAAATCTTAATAAACTTTGCCATTTGGAAAGTTGTAGGGAAGACCTCTTCCTTAACAATTTATAAATGACAGAAAACCAGGAAAATATTTTGGTGTTCTTTAACTTCCATGACTTTAACAAACACAGGGGTATTTTTTCTCATTTTTAAGTTTCAGTTCATGACAGACTTTATGAGTGAGTCACAAGAATTTGTATAACAGACTATAAATACAGCCCTGGAGTAAGATCAGAGGTAAGAATATCATATATTCTGAAGGAACTTGATGGGAGGGAAATGACTTGGTTTAAAATTCAGCCTAGAGTCTGCTTCAACTATATCACCTGGCTGCCTCTTTAGAAAATTTCATACATTGTATTGCCTAGTAAACTCTATAATGAGAACTCAAAGAACTACAAAACAAGAAAACTCTGACATCACAGTCAACAAGCATGTATTAAGCCCCAAATGTGTACCAAACGCAGTGCTTGTTCTTCTCCAATCTCTCCTGATTTATTATACTGCGATCTCCTGGCAACCACTGTAGATTGGTTCCATGTTCCCTTCCTAGATACCAACCTTTATAAGTCTTAGGGGTGCTTGAGTCCCTTATATAAATTGGCATGGTATTTGCATCTAATTTTCACACATTTTTCCATATTCTTTAAATCATTTCTAAATTGTTTATAATATCTAATACAATGTAGGTGCTAGGTACCTAGTCATTATCCTGTATTGTTTGAATAATATGATAAGAATAAAAGTTTGTACAGGTTTAATAGAGACACTACCATAGTTCTGACTGTGCAGGACACCAGGAAGACAGTTGATGGTCAACTAAACATGCTAGAAAGAGAGAGAAGGATCCATGGAATGGTGGGAGGCATCAGCAGGGTATGCCTACAAATCTCTTCATTCACATGAATTCAGCATGGGGCTTGGCAAGTGAGAAATTCAAGTTTTGATTTTAGGAATTTTCTGTATTTTTTTATCCAAATATTTTGAATCCATGATTTTTGAAATAGCAGTTGTTTGAAACTGCAATGCAGAATCCCACAGATACAATGGGCTAATTGTATAATGAGTGAAAGAAAAATAAAATTCTCGGAGATGAGTGTTATAGGGACTTCTGGGAAACTGAGGAAGTGCAAGGTCACCTCTACATCCCAGTTCCTGCAACCAAGCCAGAAAGACTTCAGACATGTTAATCAGAGTAATAGGCATGAGTTTATTAGAATAGAAGGAATGGGAGGAAAGGGAATACTACTAAAGGATAGGATAGAGTGGGTCCTCTCAGAGAAACATTCTTGCCTCTCCTGCTTTCCAGTTTTATTGAAAGTCCCAGGGAAGTTTTACTTCCAGTTTTACATAAGAACATCTCCCATGTCCACCATTTTACTTTTGAGTGACATCATAGGAAATGCATGGACTGCCTCTAAGAAGGTGGTGTGGTGCTCAGAGTTGGAGATTTTAAGGAAATTGAGACTCTGTTTTTGTCTCAATTTCCAGTCCCTCTAATCAGTTTATTACTCTTTGAATTACACCCATCAAATTTTGTGAGGGTCTAGATGTTTTGGCTATCAGGGTGATTGGGGATTGTGACATAGTTTCATTGAAAACAAAGAGTCCCAGAGACTTGGTTACAAGAGATAATGAACATGGTTAAGTTTTTTCTTAATTAAGGCTGGGGGAGGTTTTAAATATACTGAGCTCTCTCTTCCAAGTGCTCATCTGTCAGTTATGGCTCCTGTGATT